TATTATTTTTAAGAGTTTTGTGCTGTCAGACAACCGTTTACCTATGTTACATTCTGGACAACTGCTAGGTGCCTGCCATTGAGTACTGCCTTATTTACATTCCACAAGTTGATTTTTTAAGCAGCATTGTCATAAAAGGATAAGTTCCATTTTCATATGAATTACATCTACTGATACTAGGAAAGAGTTTGTTGTTTGATTGTTTTTTAATATCAACAATGTGATGCTTTCTTTTCAAGTAGAGGGGGAAAAAAGAAGTATAATTCTAAAAGTACGAGTCTGCTTATTGCCACCTGCCCATTAAAAGTCGGTTTAGACATTTTAGCGTAATTCCAGTCACAGGTTGGAAAAATGCTTTTATGTGCCTGTGAAACGAACACTGAGACCTGCAGCCTACACTGAGCAGGCACTGCTTTGGTTAGGAGTTGCAGTGCTGTCCCTTAAGTCTGCTCTTGCCTGAGAGGTCAGACCAGTGTAGGAAACCGTGTATATACTGTAAGTACTGTAATATTCACAAGCCAAAAAGTTGTGTTTTCCAGATGATCCAGTTGTTTTTAATGAAGCTAAAAAAGCATCATAGTGGTAGCACTAAGAAGAAATAGCTGTGGCAAGACTTAAAAGATTTTTTTCCTATTGGAAGCATTGGTTTAAAGGTGAGAGAGATATTTATTTTTCAGCATGGTTCACCTCAAAATCTCCACAAGCACAATGCATCTGACTGCAATAATGTACTAGTAATTTATGTCAATAACCATCTTGTTCACAGTCCACCCAATCACACTCTCTCCTGTGTGTTGCTGTAAAGTACTTGTATATAGGATTGAGAACTAAAGATATTTATTAAAAGTTGAATTCTTGATAGTATTTTATGTACTAAATATTTACACTAAGGGCAGTTGACTATCCTTTTTGCCAAGATAAAATAGATGTAACTAGATACTTGTACATGCTATGTCATATGGATAGAACAGAAATTTAAGCTAACTAAACTACTGTAGAGAAATTGTTGATCTTATTCTTAAAAATAATAAAAAAAAAAAGTGACAATTTTTTTTTTATTACAAGCATCTTTAATTTCAAAGTGAGATATTAAATATTCATGTGCAATTTTTGTTTCCCCATAAGAAGTTCTCATGATTGCCCTATTTGACAGAACAGCAGATGTGTACCTATAACCTACTATAAAACAGTAGCATTCCAAATTAGGACTCCAAAGATTAAATTCTGGAAAGAAACTTCTGAGGTGATTATGCATAATCACTAGGATAAGGTAAGGATGAAAACTGTTGTCAGAAGACTTTTATTGTAAATGAAATTTAAGAAGAATCCTTTTCAAGGAAGTATGGGGTCACTGTGCATCTTACATTGTGATGTGCATTATCTAACCCACTGTAGTACCTACTCACCACCTCTAAAGAATTGCTGCTACCTTTCTGCAAGGCTTTTGAAGGTCAAATAAATTAGTATTAAATATAGTGTACAGACAATCCCTGAGCCTCAAACAGACAAATAGGGTATGTTTTATTACTTGGAAATTTCCAAAAAGTCAAATTCTCTGTCTTTATCTTCTACATATATACAACGTGGGTGTAGATAATCATTGTACCTTTTTGCTTTCTTTTCTACCAAGCTATTTTCTCTTTCATTAAAGTGTACACTACTGATCCTGTTTGTTGTACTGGGGAGCATGTAGCAATAAAATCTTTAAGATAATAAGGCTTTTTTTTTTTTTTTCTGTTTTGATCCATTGATTTTGTTATTTTATCCTTTACAAAATGAAGGAATACGTACATCCCCAAACTTCACTCTGTAGAAAAAAGCTCTTTTCCCTTCATATGTTGTATCTTCAAAACCCATTACAAATTATTATTATTTTTTTTTTTTTTTTTGTAATTTAGAATTAACAAAACTGAATGTGCAGAATGAAATTTTCTTTACACAGTGTTCTTTTATAACATGTACTTCACAGAGTTAACATCAGTGCAGGTAGCTCAAAGGACTTCAGTACCCTCTGCGGAGGCTTGTGCTTCTTTCTGAGGAAAAACAATTGCCTTCACCATGTCTTTGTCTGGAAAACAGGTTTAAAACACTTCCAGGTTCGTGTGACTTGTGGAAGAGGTACTAATAAAAATCACTGACAATAGGATATAAAAGCTGTTTAAAACTGAAGAGTGGTTTCTGAGTCAAAGTAAATGCATTTTGAAAGTTCCTGAGCGGTTTGCTTAATCCCCTATGCCCCTCAGAGTAGATTAAAAACATTCAGGTGTTTCCAGATTCCTGATGCACCTAGGAAGGAATGAATCATTAGTGAAGAGGGGCTAAAAGCAACGTAATTAAAACTCCCTTGTCAGATACACATACGCAACTCGCCCAGATTTCTGCAGTCATATGCACGTGTAACACTTTCTCAGATTTGAAATATTTGAAACAGCATATTTACAGAAACCTCAGCCTTTGCTTTGAAGATGCATGCTGCAGAAAGAACTTGTATAGCTACGTCTGTCTTTTGAGTGCTTCCTGTGACTTTCCAACACTTGGGAAGTTCCTCCTGAACAAAAGTCTAACATTGTAACAAAAATTCTTCTCCAGGACATGCATGCATACATTGAATAGAGAGGCACGCCAATGTACTCACTCAGAAGGTGGATAGCAAGGACCAAGCAGAGTTGAGTATATGACATCGTAAAGAAAAATATGCCAGCCCTTTCTGGAAACAGGTGTTCATCGTTAGTGTGAAATTGAATATAGCATTGATAAAGATGGAATACAGAAGGAAAAAAGTTGAAAGATAAAAGATTTACTGCTGGATGATTTCTGCTTTGAATCAATTCTAGGAACTCCGGAGTGTTCCTGTCACAGAGTACTGTATCTGAACTCATCTTGAAGGGAGTACAGCAGATCTGTGCTCCAGGGCAAGCTGACTTGCTGAAATAATGCATAAGAAAACAATACTGGTGACTGAGTAGTTGGTTCCCAAGAGTTTAGAGAGGACTTCTGCAGAGTACTGTTGGTCAGGGCATCATAGGATACCACCTCTGCCACTTCTACATGTTCTTCTCTCCCTCCCTCTAAGATGCAGCATGACTGTGCTCTGCCACAAAACAAGCATGCCATACACTGTTTTCCATTTGCCACACAAAGACTTCAGGAGAAAGCGCTGTCATGGACAAGTACGTGTGCACTTTTCAGAAAGGAGGAAATAGAAATGGACTTTAAGTTCAACTTTTTCAAGTTCTTTTTTATTACGTAGTCTTAAGTAGTGGAGGAAAATGGAAGTACCGAGGCATGGCATGACTCATTCTAATCAAATAAAGCTTCAAAAGAAGGCTGTGTTTCCGATTTCCCAGGCTGCTGGATTACACTGCTGCTGCAGACTATTTTAATCTGTCATTCTAAGGTGTTTATTATCCTCTGCTAGTATATGAAGCATCAATACCTTTGCACTGCATTATTCTCTGGAAGCAAAGATTATAGTATCCTGATAGATCTCACCTGCTGATGTGATAGTGTATATACTTGTTTTTTTTTATGCATGGAAGAAATGATGCATGCAGGTGAAAGTAATTTAAAAAATCAGCATGTAATTAGAGCAGCCTGTGATACTGGGAGGAGGTTCCCTTTCTACCCCAACAATAAAATACAATCACTCTGCATTTACATGCATATTTCCTTACAAATGTTTAGTTGCCATACAGATAATGAGATATTGCTTGTAGAAAACTTGCTATTTCTAAATCCATAATTCACTTTTATAAAGCACACCTTAAAGCATCTCAACTAAAAATATTAGTAGTGGTGTGAAGTTACTGAGTAAGGGATCTGTTTCTTTCTCTGGATAAATGGTTTAAAGAAGAACTGCTATTATCCTTGCTGAGTGTAGGTGGTCTTGGGACATTACTGTAAAATGTCCACCCGAAAGAGTTGTCAGTGCTTGTGAACATTCACTCCAACTCAATAGCATAGCCCATGCCTGCCATGATTTTGCAACTAACAATGCCAATAATTCATCTGTGAAGAAAATATGCTTTCTGTGTGTTCATCTGGGAGGAAAAAAAACAAAGGTAAAATAAGAATACTTAGCATTTTGGAAGAACACCTGTGAGAATGAGCCCTCCACCTGTGCTAGTTTTGAAGTTCACCAGAGCTGTTGAGAAAACCTTGTAGAAGAAGTAGAAAGTGTTTTCAGCAGAAAATCTGGGGAGCTGAATGAACCATCTCACCCTGCCATGTATTTGCAGCCAGAGTCCCCTCATTCCTCCAGCTGTGATTCTTTCATGTTTGATTTTAAATTGACTTTTATAAGTTTTTTCTGAGAAAGATGGGATTACACATGGAGACTACATCAGTAGGAAATTTAATGTGATTAAGTCAATTCCAGTTAAAACTGCAGCAGCAGCAGATGAGAGAGACACAAATTCTCTTTCACACAGAGACTTATCTAAAATCCCAAAGGAAAAAAGGAAGAATCTTGGAGCAGTATTTATTACTGTGCCTGGAACTGGGACCGCATGCTGACTTAAAAAAATCCAGTTTCAACTGAAAAAGGTTCAACAGAGTATCTGGAAAGCAAACAGAGTTAAATTTTAAGCAGCGTTTTTAACAGCTGGTGCAGCAAACTCCTTTGTTTGAAGCATGAACCTTTCCATCTCAGTCATTCATGCCCTTTACCTGAATGCCCAGATCCTTACAGGAGATGGTTTCTCCAAACACTATTCTAGCTACAGGAGAGCCTTTGAACAAAAACAGGCTAACTCTCCTTAGCATTGAACAGCAATTTGAGGGTGAGCAAAGGCAGAGGGGAAACATTCCCACACAAACCCCTCGCAGTGCTGCCTCCAGCAGCCATGCCTCCACACCGGGTCCTGTCCCCACAGCTGCTACCAACGGCCCATCAGGCTCACGAGGCACACCTGCTGGCTCTGCCTGCACGTGGCCATTTCTAACGGTCTCAGGTTATAACAGCCAGTGCCAGCTCCTCAGTAGCTTCAGGAGCCCGGTATCGAGTGTGGTGTTCTTCAGCTCTTTGGGTGTTAAGCAGCGGTGGTAACAGCAGCAGAAGGAGCCTGGTGGCTGAGGTTAGTGTGGGGAGAGTGGGTTATGAGCTTTGGCCCTATCCTGGGGGCTCAGGTGGACTTTGTGCTGCTCCCTGTGTCTGGTTGGGGAGTTTGGAAATGGACTGAATGGTGTCTTTCTAAGTCTTGAAAATGGAGGCTGAATCCTGCTTTCTTAGGGTTTGAAAGCAGGTGCGTTGTGCTGCTCTGCAGGCTTGAGAAGTGGGACTAAGCATTGTCTCTTAGAACTTGGATCTAACCTTACTTTGCTGGTTTGGGGGTTAAGAAATAGAGGCTTCAAAAAAGCTCCTTTAACAGCTTGTAACGCTAATTAACTTGCATTGGGGACTCAGAACCTAGCCTGTTTGGCAGACAGTGGGGCTCAGACTTCAGGCTGAGTTATGTTTTTTCTATCTTTATGCTGGGCTCATTGGGTACTAAAAATGAAGGTTGAGTGTTGTGTTCTTGGGACTTGGAAGGTTCATTTGTCCGGTTTTGGGGCCTGATATTACACATGAGTGAAGCTGAGATGGAAAAAACAGAGCTCCCATTAATGGCGTCAGGGTGCTGTTAACGTGCCTGGGAAAGAAGGTTGAGACGTCAAAATGTCTGCGGTGCTGGCGCACAACGCGCCCGTTATCACGGTAGCCTGTCGGTGCAGCTGCGGGCTCTGCGATCCGGGCGGGTTTGCAGCGCCACCTGGCGGCCGCTTCAGAAACGATAGCGACCCCGATGCCTCGTGGCCTTCTGGAAGTTTCGAAGGTAACCTCGCATCCGTCCCCAGGGCTGGGCATGAGGGCGGCCTTAAGACGTGCTGGCCAAACAGCGATCTGCGTGACGAGGACCTGGCTTGGTGTGTTCTGGCAGAATGTGTTAGCTGCTTTTGTTTGTTACAAAACTGAGGAGGTGCTCAAGCGTTTGCTTCTTGTAGCCTTGCCTTGAGGTCAGTTCCATCACCGAAACTCATTTTTTTTTCTGCAGGTATCCATGGGCTCCCAGCTGCGTTCAGTCACTGCTGGGTGACTCCTAGGGTAGGCATGGTAAAGTTGCTGTGGGTGCGTGACCTCCCGTTAGAAGGGCTGTGTTGAACTCCGTTCCTCTTTGCTGGGGGTCAGTAGCTTTATTGAAAAGGTGCGAGCGTGCCAAATCTTCAGCTGCTCAGCGGTAGCATTGGGGCTTTTGCTTACAGGGAAGGGGTGGGGGCTTTCTGATAGGGGCGTTTTGTCACCTGTTGTGTGACTGATGACTTACAAACTTCATGTTCCCCTTTAATGAGGGCGTTAAGACCAGAGGTATTCTCTGTGCTTAACAGTGCCGGAGGGAAGCTTTATTGATGACTCTGAACTTGGTTTAAATAGCAGTTGTCTCCACCATTTTCTGTTAACTACAGAGGGTGTGCTGAATTGCCTGCTGCTGGCTGTGAGATGCCCACAGGTGTTTATGATGAGTCACAGTGGACTTGTGTTGTGGAAAAGAGTTTTTGTTAGTTGATTCCCAGGTTAACGTCCTTACTGGGGTTCTTTAATCCTGGCTGGACTCCTTCAGCAATACTGCCAGCATGACCTGTTTAGTTTGCTTCCTGCTGGCAAGGTTTAATTAGAAAATGCTCTGCTCTGCCTCATAGGTGTATCCTGAGAAATGCAGTATGAATTTACTGTTTTGTTACTGAGTTACTGGTACAGCTGTACCATGAATGCTGTGCAATATGGGTGACTAGATTTTCAGGAAAGCTGGTGACTTGTGGTTCAGGAAGCATAATGATTCACTGTAGTTGGATTTGATGTAATTTATATTATTCTTCCAAGGGTAAGAAGAGGCTAATTTTCCAGGGCTAAGTAGCCTCTTATAACAAAACTATCCCAAATTGGTGTTTTCTCTTCATGAGAAAGTGTTCAAGTTGGTCCTACCTTAGAAAAGGGGATGTTTGATAGTGAGTGCTTGGAAGAGTTGTTAAGCAGCTCTATTTCCTTTAAAGGAGTTATTGGTCTTGGATGTTTAGTGTGAATTTATGGGGTTTTGCGCTCCCTTTAGAACTGGATATTAAGTGTAATATAGATAAATAGTCTGATCGTAGCAGTCAGTGCTATTGAAGTCTTTCTGTTAAAGCATCTGTCCTTGTTACAACTGTACCTGCAGGCAGTAGCAATCCACTTAGTAGTTTGCTTCTCATAACAGCATTCAGGAGAACAACATTAATTCTAATATACAACCTCATAATCATCAAAGGCAAAGGTGCAATGAGAGGTTGCTCATGATGATAGAGAGGGGAATGAGATAGTCTGTAGGGAATAGATTCAGGGGAGTCCTGGTGCTCCTGATGCGCTGCTGTTCTGTCATACTTGACCTCATCCTGCTTTACAAGAATAGTTTTGTCTGACTTGAAAGACAGACTACCAGACAAACACTTGTAGTGCCAAACTCCTATGCCGGTGGCTGTTCTGCTGTAGTTTGAAGTTTTTCAGGCTGTTCAGGTAACAGTTGCATCTGACATAGAAACATTGAATAAATTTTTACAGAAAACTTGCTTGGGAATACTTCTGACAGTGTAATCAACTTGCCACCTTGTCAGGTAGCTTAATAGGTTTTTCCTTTCATTTGAAGCACTCGGGTGACAATGAGTACTGTTTATGTTCTACTTAAACAGCACTTAGGAAGAAAAATGGTGCAATGTTATCTCTCTCCTTTCAATCTCCTCTCACTTGTGTTTTAGCAGTAAGGCTAACATCAGTCTAATGACTGTATAGCACCTTTTCCTGCTTGTTTGCATGCATCTCAGATATTTTCTAGATGTCTCATTAATGATCTAAGTGGCATGAATTTTAGAGCAAGTGGAAAAGTTTTGTTAGTCATCAGGTGTTTCCCAGGGAAGGGCAAACAGCCGCTCTCTTCTGAAATTAGCTGAAAATGACAGCTGTTCTAGAAGAAAAGGAAGTATTGAAGGAGGTGAGACAAAAGGCTAATTGAAGACAGTTTCTCAATGGTTTAGGGAACTTGTGCTTGAGCATCTTCAACTTCATTGTGCTTAGCATCTTCTTTTGCTGACTCTTTCATGTGCTTGGAGACACTTCAGTGTCTTGTAGTTAATTCATTGACCTGTACTAGCTAGAGACCTTGCCCTGAAACTAGTTGTTAAATCCTTTTAGCGCAGTGCTTACAGCAGCATACAATTCTAGAACAAAGCCTTAGCCCTAGCAAGGATGCAGCTGCCCATAGGGGCTGTGTCAGCTGAGAGCACTGTCTACAGCTAATTTCCCTCCCCTTCTTACCAGCTGGGAAGAAGAATCCTGCTTTGCCCTGGCACGTAGTGTTGTCTGTGGCAGTTGCTGCTGTGTAGAGCATTTAGGAAGACAGCGTTGCTTGGGGTTGTGCTGTTTGATATGCAGACAAAATCCAAGCCTGTTTTCTCCTTTTGGTTCTTACATTACTGTTCAGTTGCCATTAGCACTTTTATCAGTGGATGTCTGTGCTGAGTATTAAAAAAGTAATGTAGCCACAGGAAAGCTGTCTGGAAATGGGAGAGGAGTTAAGTGGCAGAGAGGAGAAATGCATTCTGTTGGGAAGGGTTTTCTCCCAGGCCTTGGTCACTCTAAATGCACCATGGACAGGGAAAGATGGTGCCCTGCACTGCAGGTTGCATAGTGTTAGGCTCACTGGCCTTAACTGAGAGCCCTCGCTATATTGCTGATGTTGCGGGGAGGTCTTCATGACCCCCTGTGTGGCCTGCAGTGGGAGCTATTGGCTGTGAGCTGTCTTTCTAGTCAAAAGTATATGCTGTGAAAGTGCTGGTGCAGGGTTGCTCATCTATCTGTGTACTGTAAACACGAGCCTGTGAGTAGGAGCTTTGCATTTACAAGTTACTCCATTGCTTATTTGGATAATGGATGGGAGCCTGATATTTAGTGTAGGACTTGGATGTCAAAATGTCACATCATGCTGTCAGTTTCAGTAAATAGAAAAAATTTCTTTGTCTCATGCAGCTTGGCAGCTGTTTTTCTGTGCAATCCATTTGAAGTATAAAAGAAAGAATGTACTGTAAGGCAGCAGCACAGGATTGAGACATCAGTACAGGCAGGCATTTAGTCGTGGTAGAACAGTTCCTACTTGTTTTCTCCTTGAAGATGGACCAAACTGAGCTTCTTACTAAAGCTTTGGATAAGGCTTTTACAGGTTTTTAATGCAGTCTTATTGCATTGGATACCTGGTATGAGGTAGAGGCTTGGAGTCCTGTACTGGGGATTTGGGGCTGCCAACTCCTGAGCTGCCTTTTGTTGTTTTGAAACTCAGGAAGAGACCTTTGATCGTTGCTTGGAATTCTCAGGTCCACTGGTCAGGGCCTTACAGATCAACAAGCATGTAGCTCTATTAAGTCTTTACCAGTTTTGCATTATTTTACAGTTTGTCGAAAATTTCTTAATTACGGGTATCAGACCATCAGATGAACAACTTCAAATACTTGGGTAGTTTTAAACATCTTACACATTCATGTCAAGGGTCTGGGGAGCTTCTGGTTTTAATGGAAGCATAGAATAGTTCATCGAGAGCTGAAGTATGCTTCTGTTGTACAAGATTCTCCTTACCCTCAAACTGTGTTACTTGTGTTCCTGTTAACTCCTGATGCCCTCATGGGCACTGAGGGTTTAAAGTGGCAGGCTGTGCTCAACAGGGTGGTGGAAAGCTCATCAAAGACCCAGGTAGTAGCTCCTGCATTCTCATCTGTGCTGGAGTTGCTGATGGATGTTCTGTGGCCTGAGTGTCTTCTGTGTGTCCTCTTCATCCTTAATATTGCTTCAGCTTTCCTCAGAGGTCCTGTAAGGGCCTGGGGGGGTTGTTAAGTCTCACTGCTTCCCTGGCTCATGTTTATGGTCAGACCTGCATCCCCTTTGGACCAAGTGCTTGGCCAGCATTGCAGAGCTTTGTGTTGCATACCTACAAGTGAAAAGCCAGTAACTAGCAAGCACCTGAAGGAATGAAGGAAAAGAATTAAAAAAAAAAAAAAGTGGTGCCCAGTTTGAATTTCAATTGGT